GGTATGGAAATAAAAATAAAACATAATAAAATAATTCTCACGTGAGAATTATTAAATGATGTTTTATTTTTATTATTTTATTATTTCCATTATACGTAAATAAAAATAATAAAATAATTATTTTTGTTTTCTTTTATTATTTTACTATTTCCATTCTACGTGACTTTACCGAAAGAACCAAGAAGAATAATCTCTACACTAATATTTGTATCACACGTACGTAATAGGTAAATGTTACTGCCGAGTCGGCTCATTAGGATGGTTACCATTGTGTCCTGGAGGTCGATACAATTATTACAAGGTTGTGAAATCAAGTGTTTGTGGTATGGAAATTCTGGGCTCCGTCAAACGAATGTGGAAATTCTCCCAGCCCCACGCGTGTTGAAAAGGAAGACGTAGATTTATGTTTTTATCCGATATAATTGTGTAATAATGCAAATGTAAACATTCCTCTGCAACAATCTTTTAATTAACGTATGTAATGGAAGAAACTCAATCGCTATGTGACAATTATCAGTGAGTTATACTGCACGGAAATAATCATGGGCAATATACTTTTAGCTGTATAATCGCACCGTAATTACATATGCACTACAACAACACAATGCATATGTAACAATATTCCATATCGTGTGCGCAGTGTATTCTCAGTAATCTGGCCATGAGTTGCTTCGATACGGGATGCTAGCGATTAGCGAACACCGTGCCAACTCCAGGTTGGCTCAGCCGTAAGTCTCATTTCGGATTTCGCGTAAACATTTACGCGATCTAACCCAAAAAAACCTCTTATTAAGGACGTAAGTCTCATATCGGACGTGTAAGCCAGACCCCCCCCCTGCACACGCAGCAATAGCGCGTCAACACGCGGCCCCGTGTCGTCACAGGCCCCGTGTCGTCACAGGCCCCGTGTGACGCGTCACGAGCCCCACTGACCCAGTTCACTGGGCTCAGGTCCAGCAGCAATGAACCCAGTAACTCCCCCCCACCCCCCGCCCTCACCGCCCACATTCTCACCCCCCCCCCCGTTGCTCCCCCCCGCCTCTCACCGCCCACATTCCCACTCGCCCGTCCCCATCACCCCCCCCCCCCCGGGCTCACCCACCAGCCTCCCCCTTCTCAATCCCACACTCTCATCTCCCATTGCCACACTCCGTCTCTCACTCCCACGCGAAGCAGACTCAACCCTCTCTCGTTCTCGTTCTCCCTCCAGCGCCATGCCACTCGCAATCCCACACACCCCCTCCCTCTCGCCCCCCTCCAGCACCGTGCCCCTGGCAATCCCACACCCCCCTCCCTCTCGTTCTCCCTCCAGCACCGTGCCCCTCGCAATCCCACCCCCCCCTCCCTCTCGCCCCCCCTCCAGCACCGTGCCCCTGGCAATCCCACACATCCCCCTCCCTCTCGCCCCCCCTCCAGCACCGTGCCACTCGCAATCCCACACATCCCCCTCCCTCTCGCCCCCCCTCCAGCACCGTGCCCCTGGCAATCCCACCCCCCCCTCCCTCTCGCCCCCCCTCCAGCACCGTGCCACTCGCAATCCCACACCCCCCCTCCCTCTCGTTCTCCCTCCAGCATCGTGCCACTCGCAATCCCACACCCCCCCTCCCTCTCGTTCTCCCTCCAGCACCGTGCCACTCGCAATCCCACACCCCCCTCCCTCTCGTTCTCCCTCCAGCATCGTGCCACTCGCAATCCCACACCCCCCATCCCTCTCGTCCCCCCTCCAGCACCGTGCCACTCGCACCCCCCCCCCCTCTCTCTCGTCCCCCCTCCAGCACCGTGCCCCTGGCAATCCCACACCCCCCCCCCTCCCTCTCGTTCTCCCTCCAGCATCGTGCCACTCGCAATCCCACACCCCCCTCCCTCTCGTTCCCCCTCCAGCACCGTGCCCCTGGCAATCCCACACATCCCCTCCCTCTCGCCCCCCCTCCAGCACCGTGCCCCTGCAATCCCACACACCCCCCTCCCTCTCTTGCACTCCCTACCCCACCCTTCATCCCCACACCCTCCCGTTCACTCTCCCTCGGTGTCCCACTGCCACACTCCGTCTCTAACTCCCGCACTTTCACACTCACCCCCCTCATCTCCCTCATCTCTCACTCACCCCCCTCATCTCACACTCACTCCCGTCTCTCACCCCCACGGCCCCACCCCTCTCCCTCCCTTGCCCCTCCCTCGCACAGTGTCTCACTCGCACATGCGCTCCCTCCACTCTCGCTCATCTCGTCGTCTATGAATACTGTCTGCATCCTGCCTCGTTCCTTCCCTCGCCCTCCCTCCCTCCCAGCTGTCTCAATATCTCCCCCTCCTCTCACTCTTTCTCTTCATCGTCGTAGGCCATGATCAATCCGTCGTGATATCCCCTCTGTTGGTGGACGAAGAGGCCTTCCCACACCGTGATGGTCACGTGCGTTGTTTGACCATACTTCACCACGATAGTCAACGCAGATTAGTGACGCCCCCCTTCCTCCTCAACCCGCACTGACCACTCATGTTACTCACCACTGATGTGAGCCACAGAGAGTGATATCAGGAATCTAACTGAGGATTCCGGGTAAATAACAGTGCGCTAACCACTGCCCCACCCGACATAATGGACTGCTGTACATTTTCCCAATAATTCCTCCCTCCACCCCTCTAAATCTCTCAACACACACACACTGTCTCTCCCTCCTTTCGCTCTCCCCTCACTCCCTCCAGCAACTCTCTCTTGTCTCTGGGCATGACTCCAAGACAGTAACAGCAATCACGGTCTCTCTCGTAGATGTGCAGAATTAGTCACGCTCTAAGTCCTATTTTAACACGAGCACGCAATCGGTATACACTGCACATATCAACGACAAGACGCCATCACAGCCAACGCCAGTAATGTCATAACACACCGCCATCGCTTCCTTCCTTTTGCCCAGATCCTGCAGCTGTTGCGTCTCCCGACACCCTAACGCCCAATTTGTGCTCTGCCATCTGGCTTTGACTCTAATCCTTGGTCACCAGCCTTGTGAGTGCCACTCCAATGCCACACGAGCGCCAACCATTACAATCGCCTCTTCCTGATTACATCTAAGGCACTTACTGGCCAGGTTCTATTATTAGCTTCAAATTTGCTTACCCAGTCCTGCCATGGAATTCTGAGTGTCGCCTGCTAAGCACCCTGCGTTTCAATGGCTGGAAGCTTCTGGGCGAGCCGCGTTTGGTGAGGTTCAATCGTGACTGTACATCCATGCAAGCTGGCTTTCTCGCTTACTTGGCCGTTCAGCGTCCCACCACGGCTGGGCAAAGGCCTCCAAAAGTGTCGTCCACTCTTCGTGGTCTCTTGCCACTTTCGTCCGGTGCACTCTCCGCATCGTCTCTAACTTCACCACACCATCTCATTTAGTCCATCTGCCTTCTCCCCATCGGCCTCCATTCCATTGTTTGTTTATTGCCCATCTGCCATTGTAATGTCCTAACCACCTCCATTTCAAAGACATTACAAATTTCATGCAGAACACCAAATATGAGCACTCCGCCACTATTCAAAATTGGTGTTTGGAAGCCCATCAAACACCTGCCCTGCTAACACAATACGTCTCTTGAACACCGCACAGTATTTGAGCACAGAATGTTGCACATCATGTATGTATGTTGAACTTGTTTCGCACCGTAGGTAGCCAGCCGTGCTAATCGGAGGTGCAAAGTACACAATGTTCTCTGCTACTTCCACGTTCCAACTTCCTACTGATATCAGTGACAAAGGTGCACAAAGCCTGGGCCTTAACATTGCCAAAACCCACCTAGTCAAAAAGCAGATCAATGTTGGGAACGCCTCGCGTCTACGCACTTCCACGCAGAGCCGGAGCGGTGGTTCCCAACCCGTGCTTTGTGGTCCAAGAGGCCGTGGGAAGTGGTTCACAGAGCTCTTGCGGCATTACTCATTATTTTGGCACGTCATATTCTCGACTGCCCATGACACAGTTACGTACTTTCTATTTCATTCATGACTCGACACAGCTGGATATTGACTGAATCTGCTGATGGATTTTTTAAATAATTTCATGGTGCTTTTTCAAATATGCCAGTTTGACATTTATGGAAAAAAATATGTGTTATTGGTTCATAATGGTCCATGAAAAGTTTTATTTGTGGGGTTGCCAGTGGCCCGGTGGCCCGGAAAAGTTGTGTATCACTGATCTTGAGTAAGAATCTCATAAAAGAGGGAATGACTAAGCTGGTAAACACAGTGCAGCGTGAGAAATCCTCACGTCAACTGTCTATAAAAAATGTTCTGAAATAAGCTCCCTTTTCTCGAGCGGCCACCAGATTGCGGGGGTTGGTGGGTGGGTGGGTGGCAGGGAGGGATACTGCGAGGTTAGCCAGAGGGGGGCGCTAGAGTCACGAGCCGGAGCAAACCTCCGCACCGCGCACCGTTCACACATCCCAAGGGTCGGCAATCTGTGCCTCTTTACGGACTACTTCGTAATGTAATATATGTATGTATGTTTCTATATGGATTGCGGCTCTTGAAATGCCGAGTTTTGTACCGAATTCGAAAAAATGCCTCTTCTTGTTATTTTGGTTGTCGACCACTGACTGATCCGAATGAGCCGCAAATGGCAAGTGGGTTTGGATTGTCGACTTTCCACCACGTTTGAAATGTACTCGGCGAAATAAATGATTAGCAAATTATACCAACTCCCACAGCGTTTGAAACTTAGAACCTGCCTCAATAACGATGCATTTACAATCTGCAACTAAACAAAAATTTCATCCGCACATTGTTTCCCATGTGTACATCTGTATAAACTTCTCCACACTTTGTTTCATAACATGACTTTGAAAATACCAAATTGAGATGTAATGGCTGAAACCCAATTTATGATACGTTCAGATAAAAGATATGTTCAAGAATGGTGATGTCATCTTCACAGGCAAAGTATGCTGTGATTTACACGATGCTTTGCTTTTGTTGCGTATCGATTGTTGTTATATAAATCCCGTCTCCCCCACGTGTGCGTGAGCAGGTGACAGTGGGAGAGACGTGGCACCGTTTACCGAGCCAAACGGTCTCAGTCTCACCTGAACCTATCCCCACTTCCAACCTCGACACCAGCTCAGGGAGAAGTCTGAAGAGGAGGAGGAGGGAGAGGAGGAGTAAAACAACACGAGAAAACCAAGCGAGGCCATGATGGCTTCTTGCCCAGAGCCGCCCCTTGACTCTACGACCTGCGGGGGGTCACGTGACTCCACTTCTTCTCGTAGCGACGGCTCCCCAATGCAGCAGACGTCGTCACACTTTCCGGCCGCACGCGGAAACAGGATGGCGGATCAAGCCACCGGGTCCCAGGTAGGGGCCCCCCTGGTCGTAGTTTCTGTTCGGCGTGGCGTGAGATGCTCTCCTGCCTCAGCCCTAACGATGATTCAGCTCCAGAGGTCGCAACTGGGTACCCGATACCCGTACCCTACCCGATACCCGGCTACCCGTACCCGGCCGGGTACAGGTACGCATAGCCGTTTGCGACCCTGGTGCGGCCGGGTACGGGTACGGGTAAGGAATCAAAACCCGTTTGCGACCTCTGTTTAGCTCCCAGGTCACCGCGGCATGAACTTGGTTCCTAGACCAGCAGCGGCGCCCGATCACCTAGGCCGGACCTTTTCATTGAACGTTCCCATGCTAGGTTGACCTCCGCCATCCGCGCACCAATCAACGGTGTCGGATAAGTTAATCATTCAAAGGTGATAATTTACAGTGAATTGTCATTCCATTGCTGAATGAAGGCCTTCCAAAGCTGTGTTGGCCATGGGGGTTATTTCACCGTAATTGACCCGTGTTGGTCAGGGTAGGTTGCTGAAGGGTGGGAGCCCAGGATCATAACCTTTGGCTGTCCTCTAACACACAAGTGTTGCACTATTCTGCGAGAGAATAAAAATAATTATTCATCTCGGGGCCCGTTGCCAAAAGCACAATTGGTATAAACATTTGGAAATAGATTTATGTAAAACGTACAAAACCTACATTTTGTGTCGTGGGTTAACTGAAAACTCGTGTCGTTCCCCCTATCCTCACCTCCTCCGGCACCCAGAATTCATCAGGAGGGTCCGGCTCTGGGCGGCGCAAGCGCGAGTTCACCCCGTCGGAGAAGAAGGACGCGTCGTACTGGGACAAGCGCAGGAAGAACAACGAGGCGGCCAAGCGGTCGCGCGAGAAGCGGAGACTCAACGACCTCGTGCTGGAGACGCGTGTGCTCGGCCTCCTCGACGAGAACGCACGGCTCAAGGTGCTGCACGGCAGCGTCACACCAGCGGCACACCAGCGTCACACCAGCGTCACACCAGTGTCACACTAACGTCACACCAACGTCACACCAGCGTCGCACCAGCGTCGCACCAGCGTCACACCAACGGCACACCAACGTCACACCAGCGTCACACCAGCGGCACACCAGCGTCACACCAGCGTCGCACCAGCGGCGCACCAGCGGCACACCAGCGTCACACCAGCGTCACACCAGCGGCGCACCAGCGGCGCACCAGCGTCACACTGCAACGCATGAAGTCACAGGAGTGTGCGATCACTGCAACGTGGAAAACGACGGCACATGGCAGTGTTGCACCACAACACGTGATTCCACTGCATGAGATCATCTCAGGGTGACGCCGCGAGACGCTGCCACAGTGACACTATGAGACAGTGACACTATCCCTACGATGCGTACGCAACACTTCAGACATCTCCGTGTCCCTTTCATGAAGTAACGAATCTGCGCGTCCCTTTCTCTCTTGTCTGTGTGTGCGTGCCGACCCTCCCACCTTCCTACCCTCCCACCCTCCTCGTTTGACAATGCAACCCGCTCACTCCCGCACACCCAGGCCGAGCTCCTCGCGCTCAAGTTCCGCTTCGGCCTCGACGTGGAGCCTCAGGCCAACGGCGCCGACCTCCACGCCAATGGCAACGGCACCGGCGGTAGCAACAACAACAACGGCAGCAACCACCACCACCAGCACCACAACCACCACCTCGGTCAGCACCAGCACAACCAGCAGCAACACCAGCACCACCAGCAGCTGGGTCACCACCATCAGCACCACCACAGCGGCAGCGGCGGCAGCAGCAGCAGCAACAGCAGCAGCAGCGGCAGCCATCACCACTACCAGCACCACCACCAGCAGCACCACCAGCAGCCGCCGCTCTCCGCTCACCACGCGCTCTTCGTGGAGTCCCTGGGGGGTGGCCGGGCCTACGGGAACCGCCACGACTCGTCGGGTTGCGCGTCTCCCGCTAGCGGCTCCGGCTCGGTGAGCCCTGTCTTCTTCCCAGAGTCCGCTTCCGGGGCCGCGGCGGCCACGGCCCCCCCCGCGGCCGCCGCCGGAGCCGGGGACCGGTGCTCCGGCCCGGCCGACGCCACCGCGGTACTTTTGGACTCGAAGTCGGTGGCGGCGGCGGCGGCGCGAGACGCCGATTTGACGGCGGCGGCGGCGGCGGCGAATTCGGCGTCGTCATCGACATCGTCGTTGTCGTCCACGTCGTCGACCTCGTCGTTGTCGTCCTCGCCGTGCGTGCCCGGGTCGCGCCGTCACGGCGACGGAGTAGAGAGCGCGGAGGAGCCGCCGCCCAAGAGGGCGAACACGGTACCGGCAGGCGGCGCGTCGGAGCGCCACGCGCTGCGTTTGGTGGCCACGATGGTGACGCCGGCCCTCGCGGACGAGACGCCCCTCAAGTCGCCCTCGCCGTCCCCCTCCTCGTGCCTCCCGCACAAGTTACGCTTCAAACAGAGCGCCGGCATCGAGGACGCCGCCGCCGCCGCCATGGCCGCCATCCCCACGTCCTTCTTCCCTTCCTCTTTGGGGCCCGGCGTCGTGGCCCTGACTGCGCCTCCGCCTCCTCCTCCGCCCAGGCCCGGCTCCAGCCCAGGCCCTGGCTACTCGGGGGTGCTGAGGCGAGCGCCACCCGACCGCCACCCCAGCGTGGGCGTCGTGTCGCCCACGTGGCGCAGGATGGATGGCCTTCCGCTGCCCTCGTCTGCTGCCGTCACGGCCGCCACCATCGTCGCCACCGTCGCCAACCCTGCAACCGCAGAACAGCGGTCGCCCCCCAAAACCACACAGGAGGGAGATGGGACCCTGCGGGTGGCCTGCGACACGGGAGACATTGCTGACATTAGCAGCAGCAGCAGCAGCAGCGGCGTCAGTGCTAGCGGCGGCGGCAACGCCACCGTTGCCGTCGCTGCGGCGCCAGCGGCCGGCGGCGGTGCCGCGCACGGTGTGAACGGGGCCGACGGCAGGGAAGGCACGGGTGGCGGCGAGGGGGGCTCGGGCCCCTCCGAGGGTGCGGACCCCGGCCCAGGGGGATCATCCGGCACCCCCGAGGGCGCGGAGGGGGGGGGCGGCCCCCCGAGCGATGACAGTGGCGCCGCGGTGAGGGCCGAGAACGAGCACCTGCGCACGGAGCTTTCGAGCCTCTCGGCGGAAGTCGCGAAGCTCAAGAGGCTCTTTGCTGAGGGCTTCCTGGGCAAGGGTTCAGCGACGGCCGCGGGCGCGGCGGTCACCGGAGTTTGAGACGTGCGTCGGGCAACTAAGGGGGCGACTCCCGAGAGGGGGCGACCGATCGACGCACGCACGCACGGAGAGAGAGAGACGAACTAATAAGAGGCGGACTAAAAAAAAAATGTGTTTGCACGTATTGTTGTGTGAACTGTGCACTAAAAGGTGTATGTGCACATAGACATTTCTGTGCACATACATATGTATACAGGTGGGTACACGATAGACACAGGACATGTCTACATACGCACAAAGGCATCATCACACGGAGAGGTACAGAACATGTATGCATGCAGACACGTACAGATATGCAGACAGGCGAGCACAGATACAGTATACGCACGTAGTAAGGATGAGTTTTAGATTCAAAATAATTTGGATTTTTAAGGATGTCTGTGGTAGCTTTGGCGATGTCACCCAATGCCACGTGTGACACCACTTTTGCCAAGAAAAGCACGGACGTGACGTTACATGAGCGACGTCACTTCCGATTTGAGGCTCAATACGCAAAAACATTGAATTCAAACCGTCAAAAATGTCATCTACAGGCCTGTTTTTTTCTAAATTAATCCAAAAATCGGTAGCACATCCCTAGCTTGCAGGTGTATGAAGAGTATATTACGCACAGAAGCGTGTACTTGTATGGACATGTACATATTATGTATACACTACACAAGGGACATTGGCAGGGACAAACATACACACGACAATAATGTTGAGGCCTTGGACACGCATTAAGAGAGGCTTCAAACACTCTTATCCAGTAGACATGCAACGTTGGGCCAACGTTGGCCTGGATGTTGTTGACCCAATGTTCCGTGTTTACTGGGTAGCTGGTAGCTAGCTTGGCAGCCTTCCTCAAGGTAAAGAAACCCTTTGGTGGCCACAGCTACTGAGTTTAAATGGGCGGTGAATGTGGTCAGCAAGCGCGTGAGTGACGTGGCCGCCGTCTCGCTGACGAAACCAGTTCTCGCCGCATTACACAGCGAGCCCGGCTACAGGGGAGACCCACCTCTCACGAATGAGGCAACTTTCTTTATTTAACAGCAGTTATGTTAATTTCAAAACATACGAACGATGATTTTTAAACAGCTAAAAGCACTTCAGAGCAACTTGTTTTTTTTTATTATTGCTGATGTCATCACATTCAAACAAAAAACAATCATACCGATAAATTATTTCTCGGACATGTTTTCCACAATGGGGTGTGGAGTGGTGGCACAATGGTTAGCGCATGTCCCTAATAGGAACCCAATGATCTTAGATTCCCGGTCCCGGCTCGACAACAAGTGCCGAGTGATTTTGGAACCGGTCACGGGTTCCTGCCCCTCCCACTCCACCAACCTGCACTCATCCGCAAGAGCAAACACTGGTCAAACAATCACCATGACCGACATGGCATGGAAAAGGGCGGCATATGAAATGAATAAATGATTTGTAAATGTGAGTTTGAAGGCTGCAAATGCTAACCGTAAGCCAGTGACTGTAACACGTGGAGTGAACTAGTTTTGGCAAATCTGTGTATTGCACCGAGTCTGCTCTTAACATAAACATGTTGAGTGAGTTGTGCCCGTAAATACAGCTTATACACAAACGTGTACATAACCACACACATTAAACTGTGTACGTACATACCATACAGTATACAGACCTATGTCCATGGACATACACATATACACCCATATGCACCTACACATACTCATGCAGACATGCAACACGAAATGCGCACTCACTGCATACATGAACCAGAATTGTACACAACACATACGCACATGTACATAAGCACTAAATACATACACACGTGGATATATCTAATACGCGCACATGCAAATCACAATGTGCACATGAACACATACATTCTCGGGGCATGTACATCCACGTGTGTAGACACATGCACGGTTCATACTAAGCACACTATACCACACACATTTCACAGCACACAGATAACGAGGAAACGTGATGAATTATGAATTTATTGTTAATATTGAAAATTACAATTAAATTTTAAAACAATGACCCAATTATGTTTGTCTGGTGTCCATTCACAATGGCCAGTGCGTGTATATATTAACACAGTTTTTTTTTACCCCACTAGCCGAGCAGTACGGCTGGTTTTTCCCCCCACTGGTTATGTGTTGAGCCAGAACTGAGCTGTGGAGCGGTTGCGCAAAAGGCATCTGAATGTGGCCCCTGGCCAAGCAGGGCCAGGAGTTGGGTTAACGATGCGTTCATTGTGCGTGCCGTCGAGTCGGTACGCTGTGAGGACATAGCGTTACTGTGTCATCTGCATGCGGCTCGACTTATTTAATTGCGTGCGACGTAAGTGGCAAGGCTCGGGGGTTTTTTTGCAGATGAATTAAAACAAAACTGGTAATTGATGCCCCAGTGACAACCCGGGACTGGCTCGGTTCGCTTGTGCAGTGGAAAAGGGGTAGCTCTAGAGCAGGGTGGCCAACCTGTAACAGACCGAAAGCCAAAAAGTACCGATGCGTCCTGCAAAGAGCCAAGTGTATATATATATAAGTGTGCGCATATATTGATAGTTTTCGGCACAGCACGGGAGACATTATTATTTGCTACCGTGATAGCATGTTCTACGTGATGCCACTTCGATAGAGCCGCGTATGGGTGGATTGAAGGAGCCGCGTGCGGCTCGCGTGATGCTGGCTGGCCACTGCTGGCTCTAGAGAGAGGAGGAGTGCAGTGCGGATGAGCGGAGTTGGCCATACATGGAGACCGTGGAGCCCCAATAGGTGAAGACGGGGATACTTTTTTTTGAGACAATCTAGGCCTGTGACTTTATCAAAACTATTCCACCCAGTTTATGAATATTGGCCGGGGGGGGGGTAAGATGAATCGGTGGTGTTAGATTCCATATGCTCGAGGATTCCACCATGGGCATTGTGATGTCACAGCGTAATCCCTGCCCACAGGTGGAAGCCGACCAATCAGACTGCGATCAGTCGGACATGACGTTTGTGTCGCACCGACAGCTTCACTCCCCCTGCCGCCAGACCCGTTTGTAAACGGTGCCTTCTGCAAAGGCCCGAGTTGGGCTCTGGGTGTTTCTGAACTTGTGAGTTGTGGAGCGGTTTCTAAAGCCACAGTGGTGGAAAGTATATTCTTAGGTTTTTTCGGTAAAGTCACGTAGGTAAAAAATAAAAATAAAAGTAAAATAAAAATAAAATAAAAAATAAAAATCACGACGTTTCGGAGGGAACACAAGCTTCCGCCTTCAGGTGGAACCGTCACAGCACGATAGCTGTATCAAGTGAGAGAAATTCTAAGAAAACAGTCCTTGTGTATATACTGGTTGAGGGTGGGAGGAGCCAAGGTAGGTCCTGAATATTATTTTTGTGAGGTTCGGTGCGGCTGAAGCACGCTGTTAGGAATGAGCCTTTGTTGTGTAAACTAGGTGCGGATGATGTAAAGGTGCGTGGTAAAGGGACTGAGCCTTTTTGTTATGTAGAGGTGATGCGGCTGAAATCGCTGCCAGAAAATGAGTCTTTGTTGTGGAAAGTAGTTTCACCTCACATCACAGGTAGACACGTATGTGCAAATATCTCAAGGTCTAGGGGTCAACAGTTAATTTCACAAAAACTCAACATCACTTCCTAGCTTTCACCTGAGCCCACACAACAGTTGCAATGACACGTCCCCCATGTAGCCTGATACTGCAATAGGAAGTGCTGTCCGTGGTTGCACGGCACGATTACGAGCGACGTGGTTAACACCCCAGCAGGCTGACATTGTCCATGAAGTGGTTAGGTTGACATTGCATTGGGTATTTATGGCTTCGTTGACCTATAAGAGGCCTAGAATAGGTTGAGATATCACATTCTGCTGATGATGTGCATGTCCGAGAATCAAAAACAAGCCACTGTAATCACAGCGCATCGCGCGAAAAATTGGGCTCACCACTTCGCACACGCTCGTGCACACACGCGCACACCAGCTACATCCGTGCGAAATCATCATCAGCATTACAAATCAGCATAGATTGTGTGAAACTGTAATCAGCCGATGGGCAGCGTCTTCAGTTTAGAGATCACGCATTGCACTATTGGGGCATCACGGCGTCTTTGCCAAACAAATTAGCTGCATATATTTTTCTCCAATGAGGTAATGAATATCAATGATAAATTGCATGGACGTATTACAATATGTATTCATGTTACTATAGAGAATAGGTCCATAATCGAGTTTTTGTTGGGTTAGATCGCGTGAATATATAAATGTGTCGTTAAAACCCCTCCACCACCCGACACAGCCAACTAGTAAGGGTTGTCACCTAAACAGAACGTGGCCAATTCGTCACTAGTACAGCACACCGGTGTAGTGTATAGTGTAGTGTATAGTGTAGTGTATAGTAGTGTAGTGTATTGTGTATAGTAGTGTATAGTGTAGTGTATAGTGTATTATACTAGTACAGCACACCGGTGTGTTGGAGAGCGAAGCCACAACATTTACAATCTTGAATACGACATTTCGCCAGTAATCACAACCAGCTTCATCCGGCGACAGCCAGATTTGTGGAGAAGTCTAACCGTTTCGTTCCTTAAATATAGAGGCGGAGATGTGGTGACCACGCTTCTGCGCTCTTGCGCACAGTGGAGTGGGTGGGATTACTGAGTCAACGTTCATTTAAAACACACAACACTCCAAACTCGGGTACTTATATACGTTTTTTTTACTGACACCATCACCAGAGGTTAGTATTTATGGAGACAGTGCTCAGTTTGTGTTTTTTTTCCAATTCAAAACAAACCATTAGCCCAGTGTTCTTCATCGCAAGGCCCCCAGGCCACTGGCGGCCCTTGGTGGCCTTTAGTGCGGCCCCCGACAATACACACAAAGAGTGGAAACAGCCCTCGCAGCAGGCGGTGTGGCGGGCCCTCGCACTCATGATGTCCTATCGGCGAAAGTGCCCCAGCCCCCTCTGAAAACTCGTGAAGAACAACGCTGCAGTAGCCACTCACGAAGCCACGGCAACACGACCCCCCCGCCCGCGCTGCTGAACATCGGTGGAGGCTTCCCGCAGACCCCCTCCAATGCCAGCAAGTTGGCACCCATGCCTCCGACCATGCCGCCCGTTGAGATCTCCGAGCCAGCTGTGAAAGCCGTTCCACGAAGCCCTGCGTGCCTGGCCGCCAGCCGGTCAGGAGGCGAGCGGTGCCCATTGGCCAGTGGCGTAGCCAGGGCATGAGCAGCTCAGGGGTGGCCGGCAATCGGGTCAGGTGGGAGCCCCAATATTTGATTCGTTCTCGCACGGTCGCACCCACCCAGGGTTATTATATATCGCGGCTCGTCTCGCCGAATCGCATCATTACGCTCACGGTCTCGAACATTTAACGTTGTAAGGGGCGCTCCGTTAAGTGTTTTGTTCTTTTACACAACTGTTGAAAACGTATCTCATGGCGGTTGTCAAGGGGGCCCCAACTCGTAGCTTCGACCACCAGGGGGAACCAAGGCACCCCCTGCCCCCTGCCCCCCCCACGTCGGCGAGGCTACTGCCATCGGCCTCTCCAGGCCGGTCGGAGGTCCCCCAGAGCCGAGCAGCAGTCCTGGCCACGAGCGGCACGGCCACTGCACGGAGGCCCTCGCAGCAGTGGCGGGGGGAGCCCCGCGGGAGCGCTGGGGCCAGCTGGCCTTGGGAGGGCATCGCCAGGCCCGTGGTGATGGCCACGCACGCACCCACACAGTAGGAAAGCGCCCTGGCCCAGAACTGATGAAGATAAGGCGAATGGGGTTGGGGGTTCGTGTTGAGACCCATCCTCTGTGAAAACGAGTGGACAGCTGTGACAAAGAGCTTTATAGCTCAGCGGATTCCTCCAGTATTAATAATATGCCGATTCTGAATTGGAGTCCTGGGGGGTCGGGGTGCCGAGGCGCTGGCCCCCCCAGGGCTAAGAAGCTCCGATAAGGAGCAGCGATTGGGGGGGGCGGGAGGGGGAGTTGGGTTTCCACCTGTTCCGGTTCCCCAAGGATCCTGTTGGAGGGAGCTGTCCCTGGAACATTGCTAAGTCTTCCCAGGAGGAACATTAAGTCCCGGTTTTTTGTCAATTGCATAATAACACACCGCTGAATTAGCCAGTGGAACTTGCGTGGAATCCTCCCAACTTAATTTATCGTGGAGGATATTCTTGTGATATGCGCCGGGGTTTTTCCCCCCTTCTTCTAAACATGCGTTTTGATGATTTAGCTGCTTCCTCTAAATTCCCACACCCGATAGGCCACTTCGACATGAGCCATCGCCACGTGTGGGCCCGGGTCACCTCTGACAAGCCGCGAACAGCTCAGTGGGCTTGCAGTGTTACATGAAAGAGTTGCGTTTGATTTTTTTTTATCGGAGAGCGCCCCTTGGTGGGATCACAGCTGTTACACGTCGTGGAGTCGAGTCAATTTCAATTTTGTTTATACACGTGGCGCCTTTCTGGCACAGATCCTGTCACTGAAAGGCCTATCACGTTATGACTTAACACTTAACATCATATTTGAAAGGTTGTAAATAATGAGAAAAATCTTGACTTAAAGCTTTCGTGACTGCAGGAATTCATATTTTTTGAGTCACGTAGATAGGAAACATAACAAAAATCAAAATCACGACGTTTCGATCGCAACACAATCGTTTTCAATACAAGCAATCGTCTTCAAGACGATTGCTGTAGTTGCTATCGAAACGTCGTCATTTAGATTTTTGTTATGTTTTCTATCTACCTGGCTTTACCGGAAGACCCTAAGAAAATGAGAAAAATAAAATGTTTACAAACTGTAGTTGTTTAAAATAAAAATAGGTTGTGAGTTAGTTGTATGAGTGTGCCAGTCATCTCAGTCAGTCAATCCATGGCACCTGGGTCTGTCCCGTGTTCTCCTGCCAGCGGGCGTTCGACACAACACTTGACCTTAAAGTGCACATGGCCTGGCACAAGCGCCGTGGTGACGTCACCGCCACTTAGTGGCGAATCGCGGCTGTTGTTGTATGCAAGTGGAGAGACGTCTTGTTGAGTTATGATTTGACTAGCAGTGATGATG